GGATGGGAGCTTCGCGGTGGCGGGCGTCGCGGGGAGAGGCGAGGGGCCTGTGGTCTGCCTTCCCACCACGGCTTACCACGATTTGAGGGTCGAACAGGCTGCGTCAAAAGTCGTGATTTCAGGAGACGGTCGGTGGGTCACAACCGACGAATTCACGGACGTCTCTGGGCCGTTCACGACATCCAGAGGCCCATCGAGGCGGTACCCTTCTCCGAACGCAACTACGGGGGACAGGCTGCACGTGATGGCGGTGGACGGCAACGCGAAGACGAGGTCAGTCCGGGGCTGGCACCTGGATGCCGGTCGACTGCTGGCGGTGTCTCCGGACGGGAGGAGAATAGCCTGCGCAGCCGACAGGGACCTGTTCGTCGTGTGGCAGCCGGAAGCCGCGGAAGGATGCATTCCTGACTACTACTCCCTTAAGATGAGCCATGCGATAGAGGACCGCGCGTGCATGGACAAGATTCTGCAGGCCTTCGGGCCCGCCCTGTTCAATTACCCCAACCTCATGGGCATGTCGCTGTTCCTGCACGCCATCCTCGACGACAACGTGGACTGCGTCTCCATGATGATCAGGTGTGCTCCACGACAAGCCGTCCGATTGTAATCGCTGAACTACTGCAGTAATACAACAAACAGCAGCTCTTCCATCTGCCCTACCGAATTGAATGGCGTGTTCTTTGAAATACCCAAATATCACATCACACTTCAGTGTCGCACTATTTTGGAATTTAAAAAAAAAGGTGCTGATGTGCAGCTTTTTATGAGTATCGGACTGTTGAGGATATCGAACGCCCTGTGCGTTGCAGGTGGGCGCTGAAAGAGGACGTGAAGGTGTCCATGTTCACGTACCCCGTGCAAGGCACGGAACGGACGAACGGCCTCCAAATGGCCATCAACCGTCGCTCACCGGCGATCGTGCGCCTGCTGGTGAACGCCCTGCTGGGCGGCCTCACCACGGAGCAGGTCATGGTAGACGTGTTCCAGAAGTCGCTGCTGAACTTGGGCGAGGTGTACCCCTCGCTCCTCATGGAGGTGATAGGCGACGACAGGATGCTGCAGTCCATCGGGGAGATGCAGTGCCCGGAACACATCTTTCACAAGGACAGGTTCTTCACGGGAACCAGCGATAAGTACTGGCCTCCGGATTTCGGGCTGGCCAAGCTGTGGGAGGAGCTCAGTCCCCAGACGCGAGCCGACAGGAACACAGTCATGCTGCCCGCAGTCGCGAAGGTCATCCCCTATCCGCACATCGCACAGATTGGCGGCAACGGCATCCTCAGGCCGCTGCTCGTCAACGACGTGCCTCCCCGGACATTCAGCTCCAAGACCCTGCAGTGCGTCATATCGTACAAGTGGGAGAACCACGCCAGGCAGCTGCTGTACGACGAGATATGGCACTACGCCATGCTGCTGGCGCTCTTCACGGGGTACACCATCATCCTCGGGTTCGAGAGGGAGGAGTGGAGCAGCATCCGGGACGTCGCGGACGGCTCCCTGGGCGTCTCGGCCATCGCATTCCTGGTCGGCACCTGCCTGCTGGCCGTGGCCAATCTAGTCAGGGAGTGCAAGCAGATCAAGGTCTCCAGGAGCGACGGCAAGATCAGGGGGTTCAACGGGTTCATGGTGTGGCTGAGGTCCAAGTGGAACATGTGGGAGTGGAGCTCCTACATTTCGATCATCGTCATCATCCCCATAGTGCACCTGACTTCGTTCCTGGAGGACCTCAGGGTGCACGAGTCGTGGCTGGTGGCCGTGACGTCCATAATGCTGTGGTGGAAGATGCTGTATTACAGCAGCGCTTTCCGGCCCACGGGGCCGCTGGTCATCATGATCTTCGAGATAATCAAGGACATCTCCGTGTTCATTTTCACAGCGTTCGCGATTCTGTTTGGCTTCGGGATTGCCTTCTTCGTCGTGTTCCGGCACGACGTGGAGGAGAACGAGGACGTGTCCTCCCAGTTTGGCTCCGTGGATCGGGCGCTGTTCACGACCTTCGGCATGATGCTGGGTGAGTTCGACATCCAGCTCTTCTACACGACCAAGCTGCCCTTCGTGTCGCTGGCTCTGTTCGTGGTCTACATGATGGCCATGATGATCGTCCTCCTCAACCTGCTGATCGCGATCATGGGGGACACATACGACCGCGTGAAGAACGTCGAGGAAGTGGCGTTCCTCCGCTCGCGGGCATCGGTCATTGACGACATAGAGAGCATGCTGTCAGAGTCTGCAAAGCGAAAGCTCGAGTAAGTATAGCATTCCTGCTGTGGGACACGCCCTTGACATCGTGTTACAGCTGAAATGCCAGCGTTTCCAGGACACTATTATGCGTATTAGCAATGAGGCCGCGGACTGAAGCAATGGAGGGCACTCATAGTGCATGAAACACACTGTTCCCAGCCCCACTAGAACTTACAAGCATACCTTTGAACAAATTTTGCGCAGCGTGCTGCTTGAGGAGTACGTCCCCACATATTCTCGTCACATATGTAGCGCGCTCGCACATTCCAGCGATCGGTGTGTTGCACAAACGCGATGCCTGCCATTGACGACACATGTGGGCGACCTGGCTTGCAGCGCATATCCAGCGTGTGATTCCGTTGCTTTGTGTTGGCAGAAAGCGAATCCACAAGTTTATGCACGTCCTCGAACCGAGGGACGGCTCTGGACGCGCTGACGAAGCCTCGCTGGAGTGGCAAGGTCGCCTGATCGGAGTGGAAAGGCGGTTAAGGTGCGAGGGGTTTTGAGTGGAAGTCAAGAACGCGCCGGCCGTTAGCAGAGGATGTTTCCGTTTTGATCCCAAAGACTGTGCTTCTTGATAATGCGCCGTGGATTACGCTTGCTTATGGACACATTGCACAACAGGCTGTTCTCGCAGCTTCGCCGTGCATTGGCGTGCTGCTGCTGCGCGACGACACTCCTGTCAATGGCACAGAATTGTCCGTTTTGCATGAAGGTATTGATTCACACCAACTTAATTCTAGTCTGACCTAATCTAATCTATGCCTGTGCACACATATATAAGAACAAACAACTAGCCAGAACGCAAATAGGATCTGGGCAAAACGACATTCAGTCCACGTTGCACCTTCGTGACCGTGCTAACCTGTTGGGAAGCTTGTGCCAGGTGCGACTGTGCACCAGCACAGGACGAACTCTGCCACTTCAACGTGTCCCTTGTGTTCACCACTGTGCCCACCAACGGCGTGTCTTGCGTTTCAGGCGCGCCATGGAGGATCAGAACGAGGTGGCCAGGGAGCGAATCGCCAAGGAGCTAAGCACGGGCTTCCAGGGCAACCAGAGCCGGTTCCAGGACGAGGTGTCCGACCTCCGGGCGAGCCTGGCACAGCAAATGGAAGCCCTCTCCGCCGAGAACAGCATGCAGGTGCACACAGGCTTCAAGGACATCTACAGGATGGTCCACGACGTAAGCGTGGCTGTGGGCAAGGCACACCCCTCGTCTGGGCCCCCGCAGCCCAGGCTGCCGCCCCACATGGCCTTTGGGGCGTCCATTTCTGGCATGCAGTCCATCGCTGAGGGCAGCTCAGAAGGGATGCTTCAACGCAGGAGGGAGCTGCCAGGTGGGGGGTCACAAAGTCGCAACTCATGCGAGAGTTTTCCCATCGATGACATACCAGGCGCTGGGCTCTACCCCACGACGTCGACAACAGGCACTGAGGGCAGCATATACCCAACACCCTCCGCATCAAACACGGAGGAACTCAGCGATCATGACAGCACACGAGAAGCAGGGGTATGATCATGGTCGTCAAAGGCATGAGAGGCACTGGGTTGCAGCGTCATGATGGGCTTTGAAAAGCCATACTTACTCCAAGCTAGTAGCTAAATTGGGTATCAAATCATCAGGACCTAGACGCTGGATATTAGGACTGGGCAGGACCTTCAAATACTAGCGATTGGACCTGTGATCGCGAGAATTCAGTTGAGGGCAGGCATCTTACCAACCAAACACATGAGCAGAGTCCATCAAACGAGCACAATAGCTAGCATTCAGTTTGGCAGCAGTTTGTCTGCTCGTTTGAAACACGATGGCAGAAATGAGACAATGAAATGATGCGATTTGCTTTCAGGATTGCTGCTTCTGTTTAAATTGCAGGCAATTGTTGGCTGGGACGGCACAAGAGGAGAAATCCTGTCGAGAACATTGCTGTGTCAGGCATGATGCCTCCACTGCAAGTGTTTGCAGGATCTGTAGCATTTCATTACCAATACCAGATGGGTACAGCAGGCCTTATGGAAGTCTGCTGTTAGCAGGGTGACCCCAATCGTGAACATGTTTTCATATTTGCCCCTTAGCAAAGGCATCAAGAAGTGCACCAGATGGCTTTCCCACTTTGCTTCAGCTGAAGGAGTTCAGCTGGCATGCGGTTGGCAATAGGACATGGCATAAAGCCCTGAACCCCCATCTCTTGCTACCGACATCTCACTGCCCTACAAATTTCTTGTATGGAGCCAGCAAAGTGTGTGACCTCTGGAACTGCAACAGTCAGGACTGGAGTTTATCTGTCCTTTGCTCTTTTATTCAGATTTACAAGCAAACACAAGAGTGCCAACTGTTTCTTATCTTGCAGACAACCAATGACTAACTTGTTCCTCTGTTGGAACTCGATTCGAGTTCCGAAACAGGGCATTGTAAGCAGGGCGCACAATCACCAGCATGTGAGTGCACCTGTCATTGTGTGCACAACACGCGCGACACCCAATTATCGCCTCCAAGGTGAAAGGACAGTTCTACCCTGAGAAGATTATGCAATCAAATTAAACGAATTCTGCACATCACAAACTTTCATACAAAAGACTAGCAACGATGGAGTCCCAGCTTTTGCTTGCAGACAGCTGCCAGCAAGCAACGTCAGACACAGAAACCCAATACGCAAATGTTATCTGTCCCGTGCTGAAGAAGTGCACAATTCCGTGGGCCCTCCCCCCAAGGTTGACCCCAATCTAGCTCCAGCGTTAAAAGTTCAATCCGAGATGGCAGAAGCCTGTTAAAGCCCACCGCGATTTCACACAGGGGCAGCTCCCTGACTGCGTAATTGCATCGCCAATCCCATGCGCTACTGGTAAGGATGTTCCAATCCCTTTTCAAGCATGGCGCCGCCGACATCCGCAGGGCGCAGCCAACGTGATGTTCTCCCGCGCCCTCAAGGCTTAGTCCCCTTCACACCTTTCTCATGCGCGGTCGACAGCACGGGTGGCGCTGCCACCATTCGCAGCCTCAGGCCCGACTGCGCCACGCGTCCAGCCGCCAGCGACTCGTTGGTCGCGTTGATGTGCTTGGACACGTCCGCGTCGTCCTTCCACTCCTGCCTCTTCGACGGCGTCTTGGGAACCTTCACCAGCTTGCCCTTCTTCGTCTTCTTGGGGTTCCCGGAGCGCTTGGCGGAGTCCTTCTTCTTGCAGATGGCCTTGCTGCCCTTGAACAGCGCGCCCTGCGGCATTGGATGCTCCCGTCCAGTGCAGGCGCGGACGTCCGTGTCCAATTGCAGGCTCGCCAGCCCATGCATAAGCGTGGTGAGGGCTGTCTACAGGCTAGTGTAGGTTTTGCAGGCAACAGTTGCCGGGCCTGGTAATGTTCCCTTGAATTCGTTGCGGCGGTTCAAACATAATCGTGTGTTCAGCAGAAGACAGGCAAGCGCAGGGCGGCTGTTGTGCAGCCGCCCCTGCACGTTTGGTGGAGGCGGCGTCCGGTGCCAGGCACAAGAACAAGGAGCTGTCGCGATGTGCGGCTGGCTTGTATGGGGGCGTCTGACGAGATTGCTGCGCGCTCCAAATGGTGCGTGCGCACTGGTGTGGCCAGCAGCGGATGGCCACAGCGGGTCTGCGAACCTGCTGTTTGTGTTGGCACCAAGTGCTGAACCGCCTCAGAGCCTCCTTGCCTTGTCCGTGGGCTGCTGAGGCTGTGCGGAGCCGGGCATGTCCCGTCTGTTGGCCGCTTGGCTGTCCAGTCTTGGAAACATCATGTTTTGCACGTTCAAGCAGGCGTGGCGCTTCTGATCCTGTGATTGCTGCATCTTAGGGCAGCGCTCCCGCCAGTTGACGACGACGGGCTGCCGGCTTGATCGGGTCTTCGAGGCGCCCCCTCAGCAACGGCAGCTGGAAGTGGGCCGTGGCGGCGCGGCGGCCTTTCGATTGTTGACCTACAACATCCTGGCCAACTGCTACGCCTGCCACCAGTAGGTGATGTGTCCGCGCTGTCCGTTGGCACACGTCTACTGTCCTGCTAAATGCCCAGGAAAGTCGCCGAAGATCGGGATGTTCGTTGCTTGGCATCGCACTGCAGGCGCGCCAAGCGCCTTTGACATCGCCACAAAACCTCCACGAATACCAGAACAGCCGCCACCACAACCACAACCGCCCTATCGTGCAAATTCCACTAAAACCACGGCCGGCCCGCCATGGACTGAACATGTGCTGTCGGCCCCCTGGTCGCTTTCGAAGTTCCTCCCTTGGCATTTGCCATGGGCGCGTCAACAAGACTTTCCTGAAGTGCCTGTTGCCGTAGTGTTCTATGTCTGGTTGCTGGCTTTTGTGCAAAGCCAGTTGATGCATCTTCGGAAAGCTGTGGTGGTGCCAGCTTGGGTTGTGACTGCCCTGCAGCGCGAGCTACTGCCCCAAGGAGCTCTTGGAGTGGGATTCGAGAAGACTGAGAATACTTGAAGAGCTCCAGAAATATGACGCAGACTTGGTGTGCCTGCAGGAGGTGGAGAGAAAATTCTATGAGGATGACCTAGAAGCGTGGTTTCTGGGTCAGGGTTTCGAAGGCATCCACTTCACCAAAAAGCCCAAGGTTCCTGCAAGGGTTGAAGAAGGATGTGCTTTGTTCTATCGAACGAGCACTTTCTCGAGGATATCCTCAAGAAAGTTTTTCTTTTCAGACGAAATAGGCTTCAGTGGTGGAGGTGAGCATGGCGTTTGGGCCTGTTGGTTGCGCATGAATTGTCTCAATAATATCGTGTAACAGGTGACAGCCATGCAGTCATTTCCCGCGGGTACAATCTGCAACACTGCCATTTCCTCCGGCACATGTGTGCATTGTGTTGTTTATGTGATACTAGTTTCAGGTCTGTGATCTTGGTTTTCTTTGGTGCAGGCCAATTCTTCACTGCAGTGAAGGAGCAAAGAGATGGTGCAATCCTTGCCCTCCTCAAGCACATTGCCACAGGCCAGAACCTGTTGGCATGCTCTGCTCACCTGTACTGGAATCCGAAGTGGCCGGATGTCAAGGTTGCACAAGCCCATGCGCTGTGTGCTGCTGTGGCCAAGTTTCTTGAAAGGCAGAGTCAGCCCGCTGAGACTCCAGTTGTATTGTGTGGTGATTTCAACAGTCTTTGGAGGAAATATGATGCTGATGAATATGACAAGGTGGGTGTTTGTGTTTCATTATTCATAACCATTGTGTGGGATAGTAGGAAATAGGTGGAAGTAGGTGTGAGCCTATTGTTTTGATGCTGCATAAGTTCGTGATTTCGCTTCACAATGTGCATGGTTTTGCGGATGCTGTGATGATATTGCCATTACTGCTCATCCCACAACACAGCCAGTTCTGCTGCTGAATCCTGTGTGTTGAATGGCCTTTCTGAGCATCCGCCTGTACAACTTGCCATGTTTTCTTGCTGCAAGGGATCATAGCATGTGCGGCACTCAAACTGCTGACAGCCACCAAACTCTCATGCTGGTCTAATGTGCTGAATGTTTGTGGAACCAAACTGCCAGAGCTTTTGGTGCATGAGCAGTTGTGGCTTCTATTGTGGCTCTTCATTCTTTGTGTGCCCAATGCCTGCAGATCATTGATGGGCGCCACCTGACATCTGGCACCTATGAGCTCCTTCGAGTTGGGGAACTGGATTCGTCCCACCCCCACCACCCCTTGCGGAGGAACCATTCTGGCAGGCCTCGCGGTGGCCACATCTGGGGCCTCAAATTTTCTACATCTGGGAGGACATTTGAGAGCGCATATCACAAGGTGCATGGATGTGAACCACTGGTGACCAACAAGACTGACGACTTCGAAGGTTGTCTGGATTACATCTACCTTTCAAAGGGCCATTTCAATGTTTTAGAGACGCTATCCATGCCGTATGACTCTGCTGGACTTGAGAATCCAAAGCATGTGGTGTTGCCACCGATGCCCAATGCGATGTTCCCTTCTGACCATCTTGCCTTGGGTGCAACCGTGGTGTTCTGCTGAGACAATGCACAACAGTTGGAGCAATGTTGTGTACAAGTTGGGGATGCTGGCTTGCAGGTCGAGATTAGTGGAATGCCATACAGGTACATGAGATTGGCACTCTCACTGTGTGCGTACGAACGTTTGCTGTGAACGTTTCCATTGTGGTGTTTGTTTTTGTGCTCTTTGCTGTGCTGTCTCGGAGCCCTGGTTGAAGTTGCTGGAATCTATTCATTTGAATAGGCCAATACAGTGCTTTGCGCCTTCAGGGAAGTTGTGTACTGGAACGCAGAAAAGGCACAATTCATGCCTTCATTCTGTGCGCACGGTCCCGTTGGTGTATTGTGGTACACCACACCACGACAGCTGCAGTGCTAGCTTGTTACACCTTTCGGCATCTCGTTCCCCAGCAGGCTCCACATAGGCGTCTCTCTCAGGCCTATCGCTGTGGTCTCGAAGGGTCGAGTGGAGCCGATATTGTGACACCAGCTTAAAACCAGCAGAGGATCAACCTGTACCCCCTTGCTGACCTGTCTCTCTGGAACACTGCACCTCGTGCTTGCTGCAAGGGTTCTTGCAGCAGTTGTGCTGGCAGGCTCTTTGTCCACAGTAGGTCCCTGCCACAGCCACGGTATGCATGAGCAAATGACCCTGACTGCCGTAAGGGGCCTGAGATCAGAGCCCGCTCAGGAAGCCATGCTGACGCCTATGCTGTCAGTGCGGTGCCGAAGAAGTGGGGACAACTGTGGCTTCGCTTGTTGTGTGCCATGATAGTTGCAGGTCGCTATTGTGCTGTCAGGCCTTTGCAGCTGTCCAGACTGCGTGACATTGTATTGCCCTCTGGCTCAGCTTATGCGCAAGGTTGTGTGGAAAGTCGTAGATATGTCTGGAACTGACTGCCATCAACCACAGCATGCTTTGCTGTCACGTGGGCTCAGCCACCCAGGGATGATCATCTACAAAAAATGGAATTACCGGCTGATCAATTGTGATGAAGGATGCTTCTGAGGCTGAATGAGTCCTCAGTGACACTGCATGCAAAGCCTTAGCTGATGTGTGATGTTGGCACCATATGGGGTTGCGTGAACTGGACTCCATGATTCTTTTGGTAACCTCGTTCACTAGGGTGGCTTGTGACACCATGGCAGTGCGGCAGACTCGAGCTGTAAGACTTTGAGGGCGATAAACGTAGCTCACCGACATGTGTCCATGAGCAGCCGCAAGATTAGCCCTTAGACTTTTCAGTTACGCAATCATGTGAATGCTCAAATGATGACCAAACGATGACGAGTCTGATCAACGTGATTGACAGAACGATGAGGCATTTGTCTGATGAGCCGTTAATACAAGAATGTGTTGCTCCTGCCACGGTGCATGTCGCGGCTTGATCGCCTTCAACCCAATGCTGTACGCGCTTGCACTTGCCGGAGTGCCACATCTGGACGTCGGCATTCTCACGAATTCTTGCTCTTACAAGAATTGGGAGGCGCTTATGCTCGTAACAGGTGGTTCGTTCACTCTAAAGAATATCTGCAGCCCACATATTCGCGCAGACCTCATCGGGTTCTCCTTTTCTTGGGTTTCCTTCGATCCACACCGCTCAATGGAACACCCTGGGCTAATTTCTCCCTCCTTTCGTTCTCACGCTTTCTCAACAGATTTATTCCAGCCTTCACTGGAATCTTCTCCCGTTTTTTGGGCTTTCCGCCCAACTTCGTCCACTGCTCTTCTTTGAACCGTTTTCGCTCCTTTTTCGTCAAGCTCTTTGCACCTGCGTGTGCATGCCGACATCAGCCACGGTAGCCTCCCCAAAGATCAAACTGCATGGATGGAACAATCTTCGAGACCTCTGCACTGTTGTCAACACCAACTAGAACAGCTTGCAGCGCAGTGACTGCCGCGTACTGGTACATGCAGCCTGTGCAAATACAAACAAGCTGCTGAATGCGAGTGGGCAGTATAAGGCGCCCAGACCACCGCAACCGCCAATACAGAGGATGAGCAGTGCGCAATCTGCCACGCCAGATGGCCAAGGCCCTTGTCATGTATGTGTCCCTACACAGCTCAAAAACAGCCAGGAGGATCGTCATGAACACCTGCTGCACCTGCTGCCAAATGCGGACTGGCATTTGGGTACCAAGTATTGAATATCTGAGATGCACACTGGGGATGGTACTCCACAACAAATGCTCAATAGACAGCGGTCCAAAATGCGGCGCAGCCAGGAGAGCAGGAACATGGGGTGCACAGCATCATCAATCCAAGGTACTAGTTGCGACGAAGTGTGGCCTCACCATAAGTGTACACCTCATACTCCAGCTTCTCTATTTGCTGCTTCAAAGACACTGCCTCAGGGAGCTCTATTTGTCCCTTCCTGGGCTCGTTCACCTCGGGCGCTGGCGTTGAAGAATGAATTTTTTCTGTCTTCACACAGAGGAAACCCTGCTCAACAGACCATGGAACAAAGGTGGCAGCCAGGTGCGGCATGTGTGCTTGTGCACAGGCCCCAAGATGGCCTAAACAGGTGAATGGGCAGTGGTTTGGCACCACTTGACACAGCAATACGTGAGGATTTACAAATCAGAAGTGGTAAGAACTGGTGATGCTAGTAGGCTTTCGCTCCACAGCCACTGCAAGCAGTGCCAGTCTCGCTGACCATGCCGGAGCCAAGAATGTCTATTTACTCATGGTAGGGCAGTTGCACATTGTAGGCAATGATCAGCATACGCACATTCAAAACTTTTGCCCCTCGCTCGTTTAGATCTCGGCGCCATCAGTTTGCAACACATGCAAATGGCAGGCCAGGGACCTATGGAGAAGGTACAAGCCAGCCACAGTGTACTGTAACACACTGGGCAAGGCACAAGTGTATTCGTTGACATTTCGTAGCCTGGGCGAGCTCACTGCTCGTGCGCAGCTGCACTTCGTCTCTGCATCATTTCCTTCTTTGTATTTCAGGAATGCACTGTCCCCAGGACACTACGTTTTGTAATGGAAAGTCCAAATATGCCTTCCTTTATTCAAAGGGAACTGCAGGTAGTTTTGCACTAGCATTCCTGCCGATGGAGAGTTGCCATTGTTGTGTACTCATAGTCTGCACAGAGCCAAGCTGCAACTGGGCACACGTAGTTTGCAGAATGATGAAAGAACACGATTGTGGACATTGGTGGCTTTGGGCATCTGTCAATCGGTGCAAACACAAGTCAATCCCACTGACGATGAACTTGACGTAGCTAGACTACACACTATGCCATTGGCTGTGCATATAACGCCGCCATAACGCATTACTTCAACAGGAATGCTGACAGCACTGGCAAGCCGTGGAGCATATATTCTACCCACTTTTCCTGACATGAAGTTCCTCCTCTCAGCAGCCAATGCACTGGCCCGGTCCAGTTTTTCACTGCTCTCTAGGCCCCCTTGCCACGGCAGTTGCTCTGTTGAAGATGCAGTCTTTGCTTTGGATTTCTTTCCTGGCACACAGCCCTTTTACTCCCCAGCACAAATCCAAATTTTTTGTTCCAACTTGTTGACAAGCAGCCAGCAGGAAAGGTTTGTTCAGAGATAGTTTGGGTCTTGTGTCAGGACAGAGGAAGGCAGGGCAGCACAGCATTCTGTGTCAGCAGGCTCTCCATTTCGGAGGGCACTGTTTGCACGTCAACATTAGACAGGAGGGTCGGTACAGAGTGGCAGCATCGATGACAATAGCAGTTCTGATGAGAGCCCTTTTGGTCTGTCACCGACCCATCTTTTACACTATGTGAATTCCATCAGCCAGACTTGGCCAAAAGTTTTCAAACAGACCCTTAAGATTGGAGAAACAAACAACTTGCACACTGCAACTGCAGTGAAAAAGACTGCACATAACCATGCAACAAGGCTCACGTTGATTATCTGATGGTTATCTGATGTGCATTTGATCGATCACTGTGCCACTTCTCGGTGCGGTTTGCAAGGAACGAAAGGTTGCCACAATGCATTGTCAATAATCGCTGTTCCTTGCTGCCTGGAATGGTTGCTCCATAGGGTCCATGCTATAGCCAATTGAAACCACAAAGTTTTCAGTATTGTGTTCTCTCAGACCATCTGCATTTTGAGAAGGTTCAGAAGGCATTCCCTTATCGGAACAGAGCAGACAATGCACTGTTCATTTGCCAGAATCACCTCCAGTAACAGTACAAGACTCAATAGTACTATATGCAAAATCCAATTACACCAACCAGTTGGGCAACAGAGCAAAGAACATCCAATTGGCGGAAGGGGAGTGAATTTTACCGTCACGTTTCGAAACACGTCATCATGCCAGGGTCGGATAACAAACGTATGGCACTGACCTCCTCGGTGTTTTTCAGCCCGTCTGGGCACCTTTTTCACCTCTTTCATGCCCTGCTCGTCGCAGTCTTGCGCATCGGCATCCAACGCCCCGCCCTGCTGGTGATCGCTGTACGCGCTGGGGCCGGCGCCCACGGCTGCCTGCGCCTCGCGCTCCTCAGCATCGCTGAACAAGGCAAGGAAGGCCTCGCCTGTGTGCACAGGGCACAAGAAACGGTTCGGCGCAACCCAATTCGGCTCAACTCGGCTTGTGTAATGAGAATCGAATGCCGTCGCGTTTTCGCCGGAACGAGCGCAGCCCGTCGTTGCGGTTCCGAGCCGCCTCTGCAAGGGCTTGATGTTGGCCCACCTCTCCTTGAGAGCTCTCCCGCAACCTGTTCCATTGAGGCAGTCGGCGGGGTGGGTCACTGCTTGTAGTGGTCTGTGAACGTGTCCTGTGAAATGCTAACTGGGTGCCCTAGGAACTGGACGAGGTCGCACAGGCAGAACCTAGTGCAGATTTGCTGTTCGTTGTCCATTATTACACCCGTGCTTGGGGATGAGAACTTTGCGACCTGGGACGAAGCGCTGCAGCTGAAAGCGACAAGGATATCATCCGTGCAGCGCAGTTTGTTTAATTGAACGCCACTACTCTGCATAAAACACTGACGAAAGCAGCCAGGGCTGAGGGGTGGCGACCCCTGCCTGGCGACCTTAGGATCCGGTCCGTGTATCAGTGTCCCTAATTCAGTTTGTTTCATCACCTCCCAATGCGTCCAGCTATTAGCAATACACAATCAGTTCTGGTTAACAACAACACCACGGGCAGTGCTTGCCGCGGACGCTGCCAATGGAGGCCAGCGCCAAAGAATTTCCTCTGTCGCGGTCTTTGTGTGACGTTCAGATATCTGATGCTGTTCGGCCCAGTCCAGGGGGCCAGTGCATCAACGTTGATGCCGAAGGTGTCGCGCTGTGCACGGATGGCGAGGAGCTCTACAGGGTTGACGTCCAACGGCTGGCGCGGGAGGGCGCCGGTATGGGTTGGGACCTACCTTTGCAGTCTTCAATGGCATCGTTGGGCGTTCCTGACCTGCTCCGTGTTCGAAATGAACTTTGACTACCCGAAGTCCGGGGAAATCATTCCTCCAAAACAAGTGACAACAAAGCCCTCCCACACTGAAGGCGATCAGTAAGGACAGTAGCATTCAAGCTGTGACTGTTAGTTACCCAGACAATCAGTGCTCCGCCAAATCAGCTTTGAACCCAGCTGGAAATAAGACAAAGCAATGCACTGGGGCCCACCAGGTAATATGCTTAGGCGCTTTGTTCCCATTGTTTGATAACAAAATCCCATTGTTAAAGTACTACATGGGAGGATCGCAGCCTGATATGGGCTCGATCGCCTTCAGCTTCTTGAGTTCAAGGCTTCCATCCATCTGAATCTGATGGGTTTTGCGTCTCAGGCATGGAGCAAGATCACTTTCTATACAGAAGGGAGACAAAATAAACTCGGTGAAGTCAGTCTCCCTGACAGCAGGATTGGGGATCTATAAAATTTGGCTCAAAATTGTTTCTTTGCACACTGGAAACACAACGTGCGGTCCAGTGGGGTTCAGAAGGGTTGGGGGAGGGGGCGCCAGGATCGAAGTGTTGCAAACAATCGCGAATTTGTGGAGTAACCAGCATTGCATAATAGTTTCAAAGAGAAGTGGGAGTTTTGCTGTAACAAAAAGAGCAGGTGCCACACGTTGGGAAAACTTTCCTGAGCAAAAATGGTCGTGAGACTCATTCTGAGGTGCGAACGATTGCGTACTTCAAAAGTCTGTGGGTGCAGCAGGAACACACAGCAGAGCAATGGGCAATATGCCGCCCACTCAGGGCCAGCATGAGCAACAGTGTGCACATGCCCATGGTTCGCCGGTGTTGCAAGAGGCACATCGGGCCTTTCCTCCACTTCCAGCACACCACTGCACTAGAAGCTAGCATCCATGGAAGTAAAGGATCAAAGAAAGAAATCTCTGAAAACACAGCGAATTTTACAATCCAGTGAAGGTAGTCACTGACGATTTATGGCTGTTTCCTTGGCATCCATCAATCGGCAATTATATCTGCCCATGACATGTCCGCGGGAAATGGCTCCATGGAGGCAGTTCTTGGATGAGCCCTTGTCGACTGCTATTCCCAGGTGCTGTTTTGAGACCATGGCCACGTGGGGCATCGACATTTCCCAAGACTGTGTCTTCCCTCTATCTCTCTGGTTGCAAACCACCGAAGCTGCTTGTTTTAGCTGGCAGCATCGCAGCTGTCATGGACGCAAAAGCAGGAGATGATATGAAGCCTCTGACTCTGGAGTCAAAACATGTGCTGCCCTGGTGCTGGGGTTCATGGAATGCTCAGTATGGCTCTGTCTTTGGTGTTGTGACCCAGGTAGGTGCAACGCCCTACAAAATCATCCAAAGAAGCAACGTTGTCACTGTGGGCATGCACAGGCAGCTGCACAGGAGTTTGTCACAGTGTACCTGGGTGAAGAACGACCAGAAAAAAAGTCTGTGCTTCAGTGCCAAAAAATGGTGGCTTGGAACTCTGCATTGTTGACATTCCTGCACCACCCTCTCAATTTTTGAGGACATAAAATAGTCCACTGAAATTGCAGCGCTTCTGGTGGCATGGCAATTGTGCCATACAACCTAAACATGCATGCTGCTGATTGGCTCGTCTTGCTGTCTCATTTGGTGTCTGATCTTGCTGTCTGTCCTGGTGTGAACATTGCAAGTAGGCATGGAGGACTATCATATTGCTATTATTCACTGTTGCGTGAGAATCCACTGCTTCCAGCCAGAAAATTGCGATGGGCCGCCGGCCCTAGTGAAGTGATTGTTGGTTTGTTGCTGCTGCTGTTATGTGTGTTTCTTGTCTGCTTCATTGTTGTGGCTCATAGTGGTACCCAGATGCCTGATACTGAACCCTGCCAACATTGGCACCCTGTTCTCATTTGCTACCCTTCCCTTCTTCAGGTTGAGCTGTGTGTGTGCAGCACTGAGGGGGCCCACCCCACCAGGGCTCAGGCCTTGCAAGTGCTGGACACTGTGGCTGCCCCAGCCAGTGGTCTGCTCAACAAGCCCAAATTCGCCTGGCTTGGAGACGGACAGAGGATGGTGGCGTCGTGGGGTGGTGCTGTTGAGGTCATTCAATGGGGAAGTGTATCAGAGGGTATGGAGCACCAGGTGGCCAGTTTATGTTGAAATCGCATACAATGCAGTTTCGATGTACATCACCTGCTCCAAGGATAACTGGCCTGGTGCTGCTTTGAGTGCAGTGCCAATGCATCAAATTGCCATTCTGTTTGTCCTGGCTTCCGGACGACTGGTGATCACTATCTCCAAATTTGCAAGGATGGGCACATTGTTCCTGGCTTTAGCCTCAGCACAGACAATGGCTGTCCAAGACAGGAAGAGCAGCACATGATCGAAAAGGACAGTGGAGCAAACTCAAAACAAAACCTGTGCCTCAGCCCACTTGTCAGCGGTTTGCTCATTTTGTAGTGTCTGCTATAGCTGCAGGTCTCGCTGTGTTTTCATCCAGCCAGCGTACAAGGAGGACAGTTCTCTTGGGAATGGGGGTTCCACTGCGATCAATTGCTGCTGGCCCCTGTGGCAGCATCGTTGCCACAGTCGATGCCGAGCTGTCCTTCCACACAGGAAGGGCATCTCCTGAAGATGTGGTACAGCATGCCATAAGTACCGAGAAGATTGTCAACCACCTGGAGGTGGACGAAGATCCCATCGACCTCAGGGGTCGATGGGACCAGAGCAACAGTGAAGTTGTCAGATGCCCAGCGCAAGTCCCAGAGGCCCTGATACTTGACCATTTTGTTGACAGGACTGTTCCGCCAGCGAGGCTGTGTGTCTTTTGGCTAGCAAAGCTGGCACCACAAGCGAATGCGAAAGGCACTTTTATGCAGGAGTTCAAACCCATGGACAGTGCCACGGGGTCTTTTCAGATGAAGCTCCCATTTGCCATTCCAGATGTGCTACATGTGCACAGCAGAAGGGTTTTTGTGTCAAGCAGGCACAGTCCTCCCCTTGTTGGGATATTTGAAGCAGAGGAGGCGGGTCTGGCGCCTGTGACATATGTCGAATTGGCCCCAAATTGCGGGGATGGGAATCGATTGAGATGCCAAGGGCTGTGCACTTTCCGCGATGGCCGTCGGTATCTGGCAATCAGTTTGATGGCGAATCTGCAAGCCCCATCATCCGTGTTTATGCATGGCTGTCCTGCTGCATTGAGAATTAGCTGCCACGATATAACTGAGCATGTGGCACAGGAGGAAGACGAAATGGGTGCGCATGGCATGGGGGCAGTGGCAGACGAATCACTATGTCCTGGGGAGGCAAATGCTGGTGTCCAAAGCACGCTCCTAGTGAGCTCTAGGCTGTCACAAATTATGACTTTTCTGTCGTCTTTCCAAGAGCATGTTGACAATCGATTGGACAAGATCGATGAGACTCTAGGTGTGCACTCACGGAAACTTGCAGAAATTGAAAGAATTCTGAAAATGAAAATGTAATGGTAATTGCTGTCTTGGCATCAGGCAGTGGATTAACAAAATAGAGAGTGCCGAAATAAACATTGTGGGAATGGACGAATGCATGTGCTTGGGTGACAGATTCCGGCATCGTCAAGCCCCTCGACCTCGACAGGGCTTTGCATTGCCCTGTCACGAATGTAATCAACGGAAGATCTGACTGGCTGCAGAAAACACATCAGAAGTAGCACGTTGTGAATTTCAAGAGTGTGATGATGTCTGCTCATGGTGAACATCACACAGCACTGCGGCTCTTGTTTTTGATTGTCTCCATCCTCTTCGTAGCTCAGCAAAGTTGCGTTTAATGTCCGGTTGTCCATGTCCATGTCCATGTCCATGTCCATGTCCGTATCTATGGTGGTGAGAGATATGTGATTTGCCCTGTGGATTGCAGCGTACAGGCAGTGGCGTGATGAGATCCGAAACCTGTGGTGAATTGAACATCTGGGAACAGAAGCCACACCGGTGCCTGTTTCCAAGTTCTTACCCGACTGAGTCAGAAGATGCTTGCATGCCGCTGTATGCGTGGTCGTGTTCTTGCATTGGTCAAATCGTGGCACCTGCCCAGTTGGGGCATGCCACCCGTGTTGTTGCCGCTACAGCCCCGCCCAGATAGTCTGTTGTCACTGCAGCTTTCTGTCATTCGCGTTTCAGCTGGCCACGAATGAGTCCATCCTCCCCCCACCCCCACACCCACCCCCACCCCCACACCCACACCCACACCCACACCCACACCCACACCCACACCCACACCCACCCCCACACCCACACCCACACCCACACCCACACCCACACCCACACCCACACCCACACCCACACCCACACCCACACCCACACCCACACCCACACCCACACCCACACCCCTCTTGCGCTGTGTTTTATTCTTGGCGTCCAAAACAGCATCAAGAGCACCCCGACATCTCAGACGTTGTGAGCTTGCTATTGTTTCAAAATACTCCATTTTCTTTGAAGTGCCCGGCAATTTAACAACTGTTTAAAATTGGGTGTCGTTCTGAAGGGCAACTAAATGCATGATTTGCCTGCTGATCCCACCTACCCAACATGTAAATGGATGCGCAACGGATGCCAGAGTTCTTCAAATAATGTGTTTCGTATTTGTGGTGAAATTTCTCCTGACAAATGGGGGATTGGATTCGGCTCAGCCGTCAAATTTGACGAGCTTTAAAGCTCGCTCACTGTGTACATTCGAGCGTCCCTGAGCAATGCAGACTTGTGTTCCACACAAACGGGTATGGAACGGACTGCGCCTGAGCTGCAGGGCATTGAAAAACTGGCCAATGGGTTATGCATTGGAAGCCCCCTGTTGTCAAAAGTACGCCGGCCCCGTTTCCATCCGGCAGCAGGGTTGGTCAACACGGCAGTGCCACGCTTTCTGGCCAGTCTGGAGAAGCGTCTGCATGAAAATGGGGCATCAACTGTGGTCATACTTTATGAGATAATGCAAATTTTTGATTGGTCAATTTACCAGCACCTTACAGATGGATTCATAAGTTGAGACACGCCTAACGTATATGTCACAGTCATCATGGTATCAACTTGTCGGCAGCAGGGAATCTCTCCATGTCCATGCATTGTGTGTGCACTCTCCAGCGGCACAGCAGGACGGGTACAGAATCGCGCCACAGATGGATTGTTGGACAGGTTGGCACATTGGACGGGAGGGTGCCCACAGCACGGCCTGTAGTTTTTTGATCGAGGCGTCGGCACAGGAATAACACGTGTGCTTTTCACAACACGGCATTGCCAATCAACCGTGCTTTGGCGCGACCGCTATTTGGGACGGCCAACTTGTGCAGCCAGCTTTTGTTCAATAATAGCAATATCTTCAGTTCTTTGTGAGCCATAAACCCAGACACCAAACTTCTAGAAATAGAGACTGCAGTTGCGGCAAAATGAAAACTACGTTGGTGTAAAATCGATCTTGGACGAAGGTGAGCGGGCTCCATTTTGCCACATTTGGCAAACTTCATTGACGGAAGCTCACCCGCCGATGTCAATGGGCCGATCAGCCCGCTTGAACTTCATGAACTTCAATTTCCACTTTTCTCCTCAACATGTGCATTAGCTGGAGCTTCTCCCTGGCTTCAAGTGCCGCGCTCAACTTCAGGTTGCGGGCCAACGGCTTGTAACACTCCAGTTGCAGAGACAAGGCGGCAGGCAGCCAGAACCCGCCGGGACGCAGTCGCGAATTGGCCACAATATGCTTGACATCAACCTCTTTCGCGTTGGTAGGGGCGCTACATCGATCATGGACGGCGGCAGATGGCGCATTGGCTTGGGATGGACATTCATGACATCCTGGTGTGGGCCTCTTTATAGAGAAGGGCGGCAACCCCGATCTGGTGCGAGAGTCCCAGAGGCGCCGGTTCGCAGATGTGGGCGTCGTGGACAGGGTGATCGAGTTGGACAGGAACTGGAGGAACTGTGAGTGGCCCATGTCACATCCGCATCCACCGATTTAGGATCCGGAGATTGTTTGGTTTTAACAAGAAGGAAAGTATGCCGTGCAGCAGGCACCGCCCTCCCATGCAGGATGTTTCGCGAGATGCTTTCCTGCAGTGTAGAGGCTGGCACAAACGTCTCTTAAGCGTTACAAAAGTGGAGTGCTATGCAGTGCCAGTTTTCTTGTGGGGCAACTGGTGTCTTGTTCCTTTTTATGGAGTGTGCTAAGGAGGATTGGTGGCTTGTTGCTATGGCACGCCGTTGAGCCATGCTGCTGTGCAGTGACAGATCTTCCACAGATCTGTTGGATCCCTTTTGAGGTGCCCTGGCTTTAGATTGAAATCAACACGAGGTCATTCTACGGTGTTCAATTTCCACTACTGCTTGCATGCGTTTTTGCGCCCAATCTGCAAGTGAAGTTGGAAAATGTGTTCATGCAAACTAAGAGTGAAACTGAATTGGCCTTCATGCTGTGCAGTGCAGTACCAATGGGAACAACTCAAAAAGGAATTCAACGCTCTCAACAAGGAGATCGGAAAGCTGAGGAAAGTAGGGCCACAGTGCAACCGGTGGTGACCCATCGATAGGATGGTGACTTTTGTGGCATGAGTGAGGCTTTGCCGATTTGGACCATTCAGTGTTGCATGGCTGTTCAACCCGACTGGTGGCCGTTGAGTACCAAGAGAGTGATGCATCCATGGATCCCAGTTGATTTCAACTCCTTTGGAGCCAAACGTTGCCAGATGTTTTTGAAAATCTGGCGATGCCTGCTCACCCCATCGATGTCAATCTTCTTTGCTTTCATTGTCAGTGAACTTTGCATGTAAGCCGCAGTATTGCCGCTCTATTGAATATGGGCAGCTGTCCTTTTGACAACATTTGCGGGAGCTGGTAAAAGCACTTTCACTGTGCCTACGCAGCAAACGATGTGCATCATTTCAGTCACGCTGTGGTTTGTGAACGGTGGTTAATTTTGCTTTGTTGAGGAAGGAGCCATCCAGTTCATGGGTGTGTGCTTTTGCTTAGGCCAAAGAAGATACCACTGACCTACAGGAAAAATCGAAAACGATGAAAAAGAGCATACAAGACGCTGAACAGGAAGCTGCTGAGGCAGAAAAAGAGCGTGACCTCGCTTTGGCTTATGTGGGCAATCTTGTGCATGACAGTGTACCTGTCAGCGATGATGAGGTCAGTGCTTTTGTCCTGCAATTTCACCTGTGGATATGGCAGAGGTATATCCAACACACTACTCTGGCCAAATGGCGCTGACCGATTCAAGCCAATTGATTGTGTACAGGAAGACGTGCATCTTTTCCTGTTCATGTTCTTGGATGAAATGCAATAGTCGTATCAAATTGCATCTATTATGTCTGTTTGGGGCCACTGAATGCTGCACAACCACCAAAGCCACATTGGTATGTTCTGGTGTGCTCACCTGTCCCGCTATTTTTAAGCAGACATTGCCTATATTGAGGTATTGAGTCTGGCAGACCGGGCTCGTTTGTGGGATTCTACTGTACTACTCTATGATGCATGGAGAGACAAAATATGCACAAGGCAGTTCACACAAGCAAAGGGTGAATGAAGCGGAAATGCTATTGTTCAACCCGAATCATTTTGGAATGGCAAGCGACATCAGGTTCAGCTTCGGGTTGCTTGGAACCACAAGCAGAAATTATGTGCATGAGTTCACATCCAGTGTGTGAGATACAGCAACACTGTAAGCATGTTATTCCCAATGAAAACAGGGCAACAGCTTGAGCTGTGCATTAGAAGCTCCCTAGCGATTCAAGTTTGCTGCATGCATCACTGCAAATCCACCGGTGTCAGACGTGTGCCTAGCACCTGTTGCCTGGTTGTCTGCTATCTCATCTGTTGTGTGATGCTCACCCAGACATCAGAATCAGTCAAGAAATGATCGCATACAGAAATATGCCGTTTGGATTGTCAATGTTTGTGGTTTTTAATCTGGCTCATGGTGATTCCCATTTTTTCTCAGGAAAACAATGCGATCTTGAAAGAAATCGGCCAAATGCGGCACGAAGAGGGCCTTAAGCCTCATATGGAGCTCATCCAGATGTGTGGGATTGTCAATCTGGAGGATGCCCAAAAGATTGCTGGCTCCAGGGCATACTACCTCATCAATGAGGGCCCCCTCCTTAACCAAGCCCTGATCAACTATGGAATGCAGTTTGCGATGAAGCGTGGCTTCACGCCCATACAGACCCCCTACTTCATGGTGAAAGATGTAATGGGCGAGTGCTCTCAACTTAGCCAGTTCGACGAGGAGCTGTACAAGGTCACGGGAGAGGGCGATGATAAATACCTGATTGCCACCTCAGAGCAGACATTGTGTGCACTCCACCGGAAGAAGTGGTTTGACAAGGAGGACCTACCGATCAAATATGTGGGGTACTCTACCTGCTTCCGGAAAGAAGCTGGTTCTCGCAGTGACACACTTGGGATCTTCAGGTATGTGTGTGGGTAGTGAGCTGTTGATCATCAGACAGCAGCAAGGCTCAGCATAGCGTCCCTGTCCCAAGCTGTTGAGTGCCTAATACGAAGTATGTCTACAAACTTGAAGCTCATCTTCAAAATGGGACCAGCATTGACCATCTGAAGCAGATGTGTGTATGGCATCCATGATGGCTGTAGGAGTGGTGCTTTGGTATGTCCATTTGAGGTGGTGGCTTTGAAAGATGCCAATGCTGTGCAAGTCCCTTGCTTTATTGCTGCGAGGCTAATGGGTATAGAATTCTTGTGTTGTCGTCCTATTAATTGATGGGGTTAGGACAAGGGCCACCAATTATTGCTAATGGATCGTGCACTGTAATGGACAGCTTCTCGAACGGTGTTCAGTACCTACAGAAAGGCCATGTGCAATCGGCTGTTGTTGCAGTTGGATAGTGCACTGTAGATATGCTTAAATATGTGGATAGCAGCCAAAGTTGGAGATACAGAACCTTTGAGGCAGATGCTCAGCTGCAGACCAGAGTGCTTGCCACCGAGACACACTGATATTTAGATGCAATGATAGAACATTTCTTCAAGTTGTCTGTTTGTGGGATTCCCGAGGATCTGCTACCATAAGTGCATTCTCACCCTTCCATGGCTGTGATGATGGTTATTTCAGGGTGCACCAGTTTGAGAAAGTCGAGCAGTTCATCGTGTGCTCCCCAGATGATAATGAGTCTTGGCGACTGATGGAGGAGATGCTCGCAAACTCTGAGGATTTTTTTCAATCGCTGGGACTTCCATACCGGGTGGTCAACATTGTGTCTGGGGAGCTGAACAATGCGGCTGCGAAGAAGTATGACCTGGAGGCCTGGTTCCCCGGCCTGGGCAAGTTCAGGGAATTGGTCAGCTGCTCGAATTGCACTGACTACCAGGTGTGAAAGCTGCAGAATTACCATTGACAGCAAGATTGGCAAGATTGGGCAAGATTGGATTTGACTTGTTCTGTTGTGCTTCAAAGTACGACAGCATATTTTGACAGTCCAGGTGCTGTCCCCTTCCAACTTGTCGCTGCCAAGGAGAAAATTTGTGCCAGTTGTTACCCATGCACCTGCCTAACAGGGGATCTAGGGACGACTCCGGTGACAGTCAGCAGAAGTCGCTGCGATGCTGCATGTAAACCTTACAGTCCAACCTGATAATTTTGAGCACCATGGTGTTTGCAAACTGGTGCATTCTGGCAATCGCTGTGATGGGACAAGGCCACGAGCCTGACCCGGAATTGGCGACGCAACCAGCTACCCTGTTGTGCAAATACTGTGACAAGAAAACACAACAGTGTCAGCAAAATATTGTCCCACTGCAAGACAGCCTTCTCAAGATTGACGTGGGGATTGCCCCAGGTGATGGGTGCTGTGAAAGCCGTTTGTAG